CTTAACGAAAAATAAAACTAAAAGTAAAGTTAGTGACACTACAACTAAGAAGAACAAAAATCCTATTAGTCTAAAAATTCTCAAATAACACCACTCCCCGACAGCGGCGCCATTTTGATGCTTATCGTGACCAACGACACTAACTTACGGTACGAGTGTCTACGATCGTCGATAATATAGTAACCCAACCAAGGGTTGGTGTCGTGTACCAAGAGAGTGGCTTTGAGAATTAGTAGAAAAATAAAATTAAGTGCTACCTAGTCGTAGCTAAAGACATTAACGATTAAAAACATTGTAAATTTAAAGGGGTGACACAAAGGTGTCAACTATCAAATGGGGGTTTTGTCACAAGTAGTAAAAACAACAAGAATAACAAGAAAATCAAGTATGGGGACAAGTTTTAGGGGTGTGACCGCAATACAAGTTGAGATAAATCATTGGGTACATGCTTTCGATTGGAAATTTGCAAGATAATAGTGACTAGGATAAGCTTTAGATGGAAATAAGTTCCCTCTCGGGTAACTTACCCTGTTTCAAATGCGTTCCTCTCGGACACCCATTTGCCGCATGAAGGCCAACCTACACCTTACCCCACTCACTCTCTCAAGCTGAGTGTTAGGATATGGGACAAGGCTCACCCTCTCGGGCTGAACCTCATGTCGACCCACTCCTTAGGCCATCAGTCTAGCGGTCTTGGTTTCGCGACCTCCCTCTCCGGCAAGCCGAAAACACATGGGTGGTTTTGTATTTTCAGCTACAAACCCATTAGATTAAACCACAACCACTAGGTGAAATCACCATTAAAATACATCTAACCTATCATCAAGCAAGACCCAACAATAATATCAACACATATTTGCTAAATCACACCCCAAGAATGGGGGTTTTTAGCCACACATTAAGAATAACAAAATACACCTAAAATGATACTAAAGTAAAATGGGTATAAGGAATTAAACCTTGATTTAAGCAAAGGAAGAAGAATGGAGAAGACCCACTTCCAACTTGGGGAAGATGAAATCCTTCTTCTTTAAGTCTCCCAAAAAAAACCCTCTCCAACTTGAGAGAAAATATCCCAAAAAGTACTATTCTATTGTGAAAATTAAAATAAATGTTTGATTCCCTGAAATTAACAACAAGTTTAGTATTTATAGATTGCAGAAAATAGTGCTGGCGGATCTTTCGGCGAGGTTAGTCAGAATCGCCGATTAACTCGGCGATTTTCCCTTTGGTGTAGTTCTTCATCGTCTTGCACTAGGCTTCAACATGGTTGTGCTCTGTGTCACTGGGCGAGATAGTACTGCTTCGCGAAATTATTCAGTGAAACGCTGACTAGTCCTTTCTTCGCCTTTTTGATCCAGCTCCTTCAGGGCTTCGCGTACTGGAACAAAGGGCGGAGTGGTCCCTTCGGTGAATCGCCAAGTGTGCTTGGCGATGCTCAGGCTTCAACTTCTTCATTCTTTTCAGCCTTTTTTTCCTTTTTGCGCCTAATTGTCCATGCTTCCACTAAAACTTCAAATACCTGAAACTTAAGAGTTTTCATCAAATATTGAGACAAAATAAACATTTGAGGACACTATTTCTATCAAAATAAAGCCCTAAATGAGTCCAATTTGTGGACTCATGAAGAGGTTATAACTCTGAGTCTAATAGACCTATTCATGCTACAATACCAACGTGTGAGGCTGATTACGTTGGGCATAGTTCTTTGAGTCTGGTGCATACTTTACATGGTTCTTCTTTAAAATCTGTAGCTAGTAGAGGTTATTCAGGTCATTTAGGTTCCTCTCATCAGCCTACGTCTTGTAGGGGTTGTTTTGGGTGTGGCGATATAGGAAACTTTGAGAGAGATTGCCCTAGGACCAGACGTGGTGGCTCGCATCAGGGTTCTCAGGCTTCAACTTTCAGGGCTGCACAACCTTTGACTAGGGGAGGTATAAGAGTGGCAGAGGTGGTTCTCTTTTAGGTAGAGGTGTTTCCCCTTCTAGTCGAGGTGGTGGTCGTGGAGGTTCACAATCTCAGGGTGGTCATTCTCATTGTTATGCTTTTTCGGGTAGGCTAGAGGTAGATACTTCAGATGTTGTTATCACAGGTATTATTCCGGTTTGTCATCGACCACTATATTATTTGATCTAGGCTCTACTTATTCTTATATGTCCACATATTTTGCTTCGAGTCTGGATATATTATGTGAGTCTCTTGATTTGCAGGTACATGTTTCTACTCCTGTTGGGGATTCCGTAGTGGTAGATCGGGTGTACCGATTTTGTATAGTTACCTTGATGGGATATGACACTCATGCTGATTTGAAGGTCTTAGATATAGTATATTTTGATGTGATTCTCGGTATGGATTGGTTATCTCCTTATCACGCATTTTTAAATTGTCATGCTAAGACAATTACATTAGTTATCCCTGGAATTCCTATAGTAGAATTGAGAGGTTCTCTTTGTCACCCTCCTAAAGGGGTGATATCATAATTTAAGGCTCGTAATTTGGTAAAGAGAGGATGTTTGGCTTACTTGGCGCACATTCGAGATACTAGTGTTGAGACACCTATGCTTGAGTCTATTCCGGTGGCGAGTGAATTTTCGGAGGTATTTTTGACAAATTTACCAAGTCTTCCGCCTGACTATGATATTAATTTTCGTATTGACGTAGAATCATGCACTCAGCCTATTTCCATTCCTCTTTATCGTATACACCGGCTGAATTGAACGAGTTAAAGTAACACTTGTAGGATTTGTTGAGCAAGGGGTTTATAATACCGAGTGTATCTCCTTGGGGTGATCCAGTGTTATTTGTGAAAAGGAAAGATGGATCCATGCGTATGTGTATTGACTATCGACAGTTGAATAAGGTTACCATAAGAAATAAGTACCCGATACCTCGTATTGATGATTTATTTGATCAGCTACAAGGTGCTTCCATTTTCTCCAAGATTGACTTGAGATTCGGTTATCATCAGTTGAAGGTTAGGGCAGAGGATATCCCTAAGACAACTTTTTGGATACGTTATGGCAATTATGAGTTTCTGGTAATGTCTTTTGGATTGACAAATCCCCCAACACCTTCTATGGACTTGATGAACAAAGTGTTCAGACCGTACTTGGATTCCTTTTTTATTGTCTTCATAAATGATATATTGATATACTCCCGTAGTAAGGAGGAACACGAGCATCATTTGAGGATTGTTGTTAGGATTCTGTAGGAAAAGAAGCTCTATGTAGAGTTTTCAAAGTGTGAGATTTGTCTTAGTTCGGTATCATTCTTGGGACATGTAGTGTCCAAGGAAGGTATTATGGTGGATTCTAAGAAGATTGAGACAATTCAAGATTAGGTCAGACTTACTTCAGTTACTGAGATTTAGATTTTCTTAGGCCTTGTAGGTTATTATCGACAACTTGTACAGGGGTTCTTGTCCATTGCATCCCCATTAACTAGATTGACCTAGAAGAAAGTGACTTTTCAGTGGTCTGACAAGTGTGAGGTGAGTTTCCAAAAGCTCAAGACTTTATTGACTACTGCTCCGATTTTAACTCTACCCGTGGAGGGAGAGGGTTTTATTGTATACTGTGATTCTTCTTGGATTGGTCTTGGTTGTGTATTGATGCTGAAAGGGAAGGTGATAGCTTACACTTTGAGGCAGTTGAAGATTCACGAGAAGAACTACCTTACTTATGACTTGGAGTTAGCAGCTGTAGTGTTTGCATTGAAGATTTGGAGGCATTTCCTTTATGGGGTACATTGTGAGGTGTTCACGAATCATCGTAGTCTCCGATATATATTCACTCAGAAGGATCTCAATTTGAGACAACAAAGATGGTTGGAGTTTCTCAAAGACTATGACATGACTATTCTTTATCATCCGGGCAAGGAAAATGTGGTAGCAGATCCATTGATTCAAAGGTGGTAAGTATGGGTAATCTAGCCTTGTTATAGGCTGGCGAGCGTCCTTTAGCTAGGGATGTCCAGTCCTTGGCCAATAGCTTTGTGAGGCTTGATATTTCAGAATCTGGTAAGGTTTTGGCTTATTTGGAGGCTAGGTCATCCTTGTTGGAGAAAATTCAGACTCAACAGTTTGATGATGGTAATTTATGTAAGATTCGAGACAAGGTGTCAAAAGGAGAAACCAAGGATGCAATTCTTGATAGCGAGGGAGTTTTGAAGATAAAATGTCATATTTGTGTTCCTCGGACAGTTGGTTTGATTAAGATGATTATGGAGGAGGCCCATAGTTCTAGGTAATCTTTTCATCTGGAAGCTACTAAGATGTATCGTGACTTGAAATAACATTATTGGTGGTGTCGTATGAAAAGGGATATAGTAGATTTTGTATATCGGTGTTTGAATTGTTAGCAAGTGAAGTATGAATACCAAAAGCCTGGAGGTGTGACCCAGAGGATGCCCATACCTGAGTCGAAGTGGGAGCGCATTGCTATGGACTTTATGGTAGGGTTGCCTCGTACCTTGGGTAAGTTTGATGCTATATGGGTCATCGTGGATCGACTGCTAAGTCTTCACACTTCGTGCCAGTTCAAACTACTTATAATTCAAAGAAGTTAGCCAAGATCTATATTCGAGAGATAGTTTGCTTGCATGGGGTTCCCATTTCTATTATTTCAAATTGTGGCACACAATTTACATATGATTCTTGGCGGTCTATGCAGAAAGAGTTGGGCACTCAGGTGGATCTTAGTACAGCCTTTCACCCTCAGACAGATGACCAGTCTGAACGGACTATTCAAGTTCCTGAGGACATGTTGCGGGTGGGTGTGATCGACTTTGATGGCCACTGGGATTAGTTTTTTCCTTTAGAAAAGTTTGCTTACAATAATAGTTACCATTCGAGCATTGTGATGGCACCATTTGAGGCTTTGTATGGTAGGAGATGTTGATCTCCAATTGGTTGGTTTGAAGCGTTTGAGGTTAGACCGTGGGATACATATTTGATGAGGGAGTCCTTAGGCAAGGTCAAGTTGAACCAAGATAGACGTTTCATGGCTCAAAGTAGGCAAAAGAGTTATGCACATCGAAAGGTTTGTGATTTGGAGTTCATGGTTGGAGAGCGGGATCTATTGAATGTTTTGCCTATGAAGGGTGTGATGAGATTTGGAAAGAAGGGCAAGTTGAGCCCAAGGTATATTGGTCTTTTTGAGATTGTTGAGCGTATTGGTGAGGTGGCATATGAGTTGTCTTTGCCACCTGGTTTGTCGGGTGTTCACCCTGTATTTCATATTTTGATGTTAAAGAAGTATCATTAGGGTTGTGTCCATGTAATTCAATGGGATTCAGTGTTACTTGATCAGAATCTGAATTTTGAGGAGGAGCCGGTAACCATTTTGGATAGGCAAATTCGAAAGTGGAGGTCGAAAGAGATTGCTTCACTAAAGGTTCAATGGAAGCATCGTCCAGTGGAGGAGGCTACATGGGAGACCGAGTCAGACATGAGGAGTAGATATCCTCAGCTTTTTGAGCGTTCAGCTGTGTTCTATTCTTTTACAGTTCGAGGATGAACGTTTGTTTAAGTGGTAGATGATGTAATGACCCGCTAGGTCGTTTTCAGAACTAGGACTATTGGAATCTTCCTGTAGAATTTAAAATGGAAACTTTGAAATATTCAGTAAGTACGAGTATCTAGTTGATGATTTTTTATTCAAATTAATATAGTTGAATAGTTAATGGGCCAGGTCCATAAATTATTTAATATACTTTACCACTTGGCCCATATAATTAACTCATGTTAATGGAATTTAGTGTTATTTTTATCAAAAATTGAGAACAAAAGAGAAGAGAACTGACAAAGTAGTCACTAACGGAAACAAAAGAAAACCTACGATTTTAGTTGAGGATAGCTTTAGGTACCTCCTTTTAAATTCTCTTTTTAACTAACAATGGTATATTTAATTTGTTGGTGAGTAGAAATACATTAGCGATTTAATAACTGCTTGCTATTTGTAGTTTTAGCGTTAGAGTCAAATTAGTGAAAAATGTTGAAGTAATGGTTAATTAATGGGTGATAATTATTAGCTAATGATTAGATAATGATTTGAAAGTGAATGAATGGAAAATCGAGGCACGTTGGGGGTTGGGTTTAATTTTTGATTTTTTGGGTAAGGTGTAGGTTATAGTTGAGTTGAAAATTTTGAATTTCTTGTCACCGTTTGGGGGTTATGGGGACAAAACTTACTTGCAATTATTGGCTAATAAATGCCAAATGATTGAGGCAATTGGTATATAGAAATTTTGGGGAACAAACTATAAAAGTATTGGTATATGAAATTGAGTTATGCAAATTTTGTTCCTCAAAGAAATATATGATATTCTTGAGTATTTTTTCCAGATTTATTTTTGTATTATTATATTATAAATTTAGTTTTTGATGTATGAAGATAGGTAATTAATTATTAGGTGTATATTATATGATTAACATTGAATTTAAGATACTTGGAGAGATTGAGGCTTAATCCTAGGCTTGAAATTTAGCAAAATATGATTCTTGACATATAAATTAGACCAAGATTAGGAGTGTGGTTAGAGATATGCGTGAGTTTTTGGGTCTAGGATAGACATATAATAATATGAGTGTCTACGAAATCGCGTGCTTACGGATATTACATATTTGATAGATTGGGAACGTTCTGAAGCTTTACGAAAGGGAAAGGCAAAATCTTGAGGATTCGTGACACATTTGCAGCATTCAAGGCATGTTAAGACTTTCACACTTCGTTGAAGGATGGTTTTTTCTAATTAAAGATTAAAAATGGAATAGACCATGGGTAAGGGTAAAAAATTGGGGTCTCGTACCTATGGTGTGATAGTAATTCATACAAGTACTGGTGTTATAATGGAAAAGTTTATTACTATAGAATGCAAATTAGAATCCGAGAATGCCAAAGCATATGAGCATTAGCAGATATCTTATTGACTTGAACTCTTGTGTGATTGTCTTTCCTTATTGAACCCGTATAATTGTGATAGTTGAGGTGGATATGTATTATGTTGATATTTGATTGATTGAGATGCACCATTATCCCCTTTAATTGAAATCATATTGTGCACATGCATTGACATGAGAGTGAGTATAAGTTGGGCACGTGGAGATCGTCCTTGCTGGGGATGGTCAGATGTTAAGATTATAATTTGGGCACATGGAGATCGTCCGTACATAAATTGTTTGGTTTTATGAATTGCGTTGAGATCGTCCGCACAGACATGTGGAGATCATTCATGTCGGTATATGGACCTCGCGAGTCCCCCATGGGTCATGAACTCTCGATGTATTTCCGTGGAGTATTATGTATATACGATTGAGAGAGTATTTGGCATCTGAGGCATATCCTTTCATGGTGTCACATTGCATTGCATCTCATTACATCATTTATTCTTGTTGATTACGTGCTTTATTGGTGGTTGTACATTACTTGAAGTTTGATTATCCTTATTTGATGAAGCTTGACCGGTAAGTATAATATAGACGTGTATAAGTAAAGAACTAATTTTTCTCATATAAACTCCTGTCACTACTTCTTCGTTATCAGTCTATGAGATATATACTAGGTACATGTGGTTTCGTACTCATACTACACTTGTTGCACTCTTTGTGGTGCAGATTAGATTCCAAATACGAGCACATCTCGTGGAGATTTTTGAGTCCGGCTTGAAGTATCTTGGAATTGTGGTGAGCTGCTTGGCTATTCCGTGGCCCACACTTTCCTCTATCGTTTATTTATTCTATTGTTTTAGTATTCAGACATGATATCTCTTATGTTTAGACTTGTCATTTCAGTTTTAGACTTGCACCATATTTAGAAACTCTTGTACTTATGACACCAATTCTTGGGTGGTATTCGAGCTTTTCGCAATTTTGTATTTATGAAGGACTTAGCGTTAGAGATATTTTACTCGTTGTTTACCTTTTTACCTTATTATTTAGTTAAATTGGTAAAATTATTGGGTTGACTTACCTATCAGTTGAGAACATAGGTGCCATCACGACTTGTAAATATGGGTCGTGATATTCTCCAAATACTGCTTCTTACTCTTTGAAATACTAATCACTCGTCCTACAAACTCAACCAAAATGATTTTTTTCTCTCAATAGTCATCTCCTATAGGAGGAATCAACATTCTTCCAAAAAGTCTTTTATTTTGAGGAGAAACTTTTTGTTACATGAAATTTCTCCTTACACTTATATCTTACGAAGGATCACAAGATACTCTCCTTCCTCTTTTCGTAAATAAATCACAAGGCTAGAAATTAGTTGGTCATCTTTGCGGCATAATTAACATTCTTTCAGAAAGTATTTTATTTTGAAGAGAAACTTTTGTTACACAACCTTTCTCCTTAACATCAATATTTTCCGAATGATCATGAATTCGTTGGACATCTTAGCAAAGGAATTTGATACTCGTATATTCATTATCATCATTACAAGAAGAGACAAAGTGAAGAAATCCATTGTTGTAGGGTATAAATACTCTAATATTTTTATTTTATCGGCTAACTAAATATAAATCGTTATTAAAAATGAAAAGTTTTAGTCTTTTCATCTTCCATATACTTAAATGTGTATTAGTGTGAGGAAAGTTTTAAAGATACATGATTGATTGGGTAGTGTATTTAAATGTTTTAAGTTTTTTAAAATACAAATAAATAATAGAAAACAAAGATAAAATATCAGAAAAAGGAGAAAAAAGATAAATAGGAATGGAGGCAACAGAGAGGTACCAAATCATATTGTCTATATTCAGCTTTATATATATATAGATTTGTTTTGCTTTCAATTGAATTTTCGAATGCGGTATTGTTTTCTTTTGCAGTTGGTTATTGATAGAGGTGATTTGATTATAAGAGTTAGGTTTGTAAAATGTGGAATATTGCGATTAATTCTAACAAAACGGGTTGATCAATCTGGATATGATTTTTATTGATGTAAAGATATCTAATTACATGATTTTTTAAAGCAACCCAACTTTACTTTTTTCATTTTTTTGGGATTTTTGGTCTAAAAAACACATAATTTTTTTTCTTTATATATATATACTAGATTTGCCATGGCATGGGCCCAACATAACATAACAATACAACCTAAGCAATTTAACCATATGGAAATTATGGATTGAACATGACATTTTTATATACATGTACAAAAAAATAAGCTCACATAAATTTAAATAATATTGATCATTTTGTTCTAGATAGGCTACGTACAATAAATACATAATTGGGTAAGTGATGATAAGTACATACGAACACCCCACAGGCCATGGGTATAAACATTATAGAGAGAGACCAGTAATACTCAACGCTATCCTTCAACAAAATAGTCAAGTATCCTCAAAATCCGAGGGATGACATTCAAATTTAGTACATGTATGAGAGTTAACACATGGATAACACAAGCATACTTGTTCAATTTCTCCAACAACGCTTGAATACCTTCTTTATTCATCATCATCATATTTCTAGGAGTACTTCATAATGACCTCTTCCTTGGACTTGCTCCAATTTTTGTAGAACCTCTTCAACTCCTCATTGAGATGTTGAGCTCAATTAGTATTTGAGGCAACACAATAATGAAGTATCATAATAAATCCAACAACACCAACTACCACAATTGAGGTTGTTCCAATTATAGTGACCGTCTCATATGTTTGTCTCATGGAGTCTTACAATTCAGCAGATAAGATGTGAATATTAATATTTAACATCATCATGGTAGTTTCTTTCCTTGGGGTTAAAGGGGGTAGGACAACACTTGCAACCCAAAGTCTAGATAATAAATGTATGACAGAAATGTGATATAAATAAAAAGGGTGATTTTGCTTGATACAGATTTTTCAACTTCTCTCATACTGTGGGTCATTTTAACCTTCTTACCTAAGAAGAAAGTCAGTTTGCAGGGTTTGCTTGCATCATCCTTAGGCACTGAATTTTTTTGAAAAAGTAAATAAAAATAGATGACAAATAAGGAAAGATTTAATATATTTACTAAAAGGTAGTTGAAGTTGTAGAGACACTAATAGCTTCTGGTAACTCCAAGATCTTGAAACATATTAGAGTACATACATATGTTAAAAGTGATAAATTCAAGAACCGAATCCTACTCTAACTTATTGCCTACTTTTATATCGTCTAATAACAGTACAAACAATTATTCTATCAAATAGTATCTGCTTAGTAGGTTAACCCTCGTTGTAGGTGCTTAATGGCCTTCATTGATCCAGAATTGGAGAAACAAATAACAATTCACTCATGAATATACTCTTTATATATCAATCCTCGATAACAATTGTTTTGTCATATGGAGGTTGCAAGAAAGCTAACCTTATGATTCATTACTCTCTAATACTATCTCATGAATTAGAACAAATTCGGCGTATAATCAAAAGATCAATTCAATCAAAATAATATATAGTTTCAAAATCAATTACAAATACAATGTTCGTCTTAGATAATCAACAAAGACTAAAAATCACTGGAAGCGTCTCTAAGGCCGTAATCAATTACAAA